CCCTGCAGAACACCTTTGCTCCACTACTGAGTTGCCCTGTATCCTGTCTGGCTTGCCATGGCTCCTCCTTTGAACACATGACTCAGTTTCTTCCCTTTCTTACTGGCTTAATTTGCTGTCCACACAACATGCCAATAGTCCTTGATGCTTTACTGCTTCCAAACCACTGCCATGCCTTGCTAAGTATCGCTGAATGCCTTTATTTTTCCTGGGGCTTTTGTTTGTATTCTTCCCCTGAGATGCTGCTTTAAAGCATCTTCTTTACAAGCCATTCCGAGTGTGGAAAATCCGTCTTCCAGAGAAAGGCTTAAGAAGATCTTGTGGTTTAGCTTACACAAGAGAAGACAGAGTGACTCAGTTGCAGTCACAGTAAACATACTTAGGGACCAGACTCCTGGATCTGAGGTCTTGTTAATCCTAACTGCCCCCTACAAAGCCCCTCCCATCCCCAAACTCCAAACCACTAATTCTCACAGCCTCCCTTCCCCCAGCCCCCCTTGGTAATTTTGAATATACTGTTGTCATAACTGCTGTGCTAAGCCATTAAAATGATGACTCTCTCATATAGAAGATACTGTTTCAATGATTTTAAGAAAAAGCTGAGTTCAGAATTTCAATTTGCACCGAATCAAGCAGAAGATGAGGGCTTCCTGTGGGACTTCCAAGATGCACTTGTGTGGTGTGAGCTGCACAAGTCCAAGAGACAAAAAGATCAGTCCATTACAGTGGCTTGATTAATGCCACATCTACTTCACTTTTGACTTCAATGACATTTGATACCCTGGCTATGGATACCCAACATCATAAAGTCCATTGTTCTTGCACTTGGAGCTTTCTACTTTGAACCTTCTCCCTTGGTGCAGCCAGCTCCTGTTATCAACACAGGCTTTGGATGAACAGATGGAGAGCAGCCTTGTAAGAAGGACTTGGGGTGCTCCTGGAGCCCTGCACCCAGCTCTGGGGGCCCAGCACAGGAGGGACATCGGGAGACCACCAGGTTGACTAGGGGAATGGAGCACCTGTCATCTGAGGAAAGGCTGAGAGAAAGGGTTTTTTTCACCCTGGAAAAGAGAAGACTTTGGGGTGACCTAATTGCAACCTTCCAGTACGTGGAAGGAGCTTACAAGAAATATGGAGGAGGACAATAGGAAATGCCTTCAAACTGAGAGATAGTAGGTTTAGATTAGATATTTGGAAGAAATTCTTTCCTGTGAGACTAGTGAGGCACAGGAACAGGTTGCCCAGAGAAGTTGTGGATGCCCCATCCCTGGAAGTGTGTAAGACTAGGCTGGATGAGGTTCTGAGCAATGTGGTGTATTGAAAGGTGTTGCTGTCCATGGCACGGGGGTTGGAAGCAGGCAATCTTTAAGGTCCCTTCCAACCTAGACCATTCTGTGATTCAGACAGTAAAGCAAAAAGGCTTTTTCATTGACTAGGCAGTAACTAAAGAGTCCCTCACCCAAATGTGATTGATTGAAGCTGGCTGGCAGCATGAGTAAGGCCAGCACAAGTATCCCAGCTCTCAAACAGTTTTCCATCTGCAATGACACACTTCAGGAGGAATTTCAACTGAGACATGTTTTATTGTAGTTTTTTATTCTTTAATTTGCAATGTCAATTGAAAGCCAGAGATGACAGAAATGTTGGTCTGAACAGCTCAGAGGTATAATTGGATATGAAATGAGAAATTGTTTTGATGTAAAAGAATATCTCAGCTGCATGCCCTCATATACTTACTGTGCTTTCACCTTCTCCCCAGATCACTTCATCATTGCCTTTTATAGAAAAGCTGAATCACAGCTCCATCTTCTTCATTGTGTTTGGGCACCAATTGCTTTGATCATGTTGGAGTGCAGTATTGCACTAATGATCACTAAACCCACCTTTGATGTTGGTTGTGAATGCGCTGCTTTGACAGTGGAGAGAATGTAAATGCTTTTGTTTTCTGATTTTTGTCTGTCATGTTTCGAGACAACAACAGCAACACAGGGGAAGAAAGTGTGAATTCTTAATGGAATGAAAAATTCGACCACTGCTTTGCTCCCTGCATCTCTGCATTCTGCAGAGACAGAGCTGAATGCTTGGCTCCATGCTGAATTGTCTGGGAAAAGCTGAAGCAAGCTACATGCAACATTGCCCCTGTTTTCTATTGAAACTGGTGCAGTTTCAATAGGGAACAGATATCACAGTCATTAGGAAGGCCAGTACACTGGTGAAGAAGACCACTGCAAAGGCAAAGCGCAGCACTTCCACTGGGGAGGGGTGCACCCTGGCTGCACTCTACCCTGGGGCACTGATGGGTGTAAAAAAGTTGGGAGCTTTGGGTCTCCCCCACTGCTTCCTATGACAATTATGAAGCACGTGGCCAAAGTCCAGCCCTTTCTAAATTTTCTGTTTTGCTGTAATCCCTCTTGACATTTACACTATGCTTAGCCCCATTGTATCCAACTGCTTCACAGTGTAAGAAAGTCCTTTCTGTAACAAGATCTATCAACAGTGAAAAATGCCATTTTTACAGGAATACACTTTGCTTCCATATACTTAATCCTGATAGATGAATCTCCAGAAGGGATAGTAGCACCATCATCAGGGCCTGCAGAACTAGTAAAGTCTATGCACTGTGAATGGCTGCCCACTGTGGCTTTCATTTGGTTACTGGCCCAACAGTTTACTGGCTGCATTTACAACAGCTGCTGTCTGACCTGAATGTCTGTTTCTCCCATGCCCTATGGTCCTGGAGTCTTTGTAGGTTAGTCCCAAAATGCTACAAGGAGAAATGGTGATTTGGATGGCATTTGGTGACTGACAAGTCATGTTCTGTGCATCATGGTCGAGCCATTCCAACAGCCCTAGACAGCTGCAAAAGCTCAATATCTCACCTGAAGACACAGGCTTATAAAATAAGAGCCCAACCTCCTACTTGCACCAGGAGCCTGCTCCATCATCTTGCTGCAGTAGATGAGACTACTTGTATTGACAGGATCATTTAAACATTTGCATCCATTTCTGACAGGTCTCTCAAGTTCACTGAGACACAGACTATTCCTGCCACTACCCAGCTGTTTCTTGCATTGGGGGAAGCATATGTGTTACAGAATCCAACGCAGCCGAACTCAGCAGTCTCCTTAGAGAAAGCAGAGCCTTGTCATATGAAAGTGCAGTGAAGCAACAGTAACAACAAGTGAGGGATCTAGTCTGCCTGACAGCTCCGTTACATGCTGCAGTAAATTCTTTCTACACTTTTAAATGTGCTTCACCTCATTTAGATATTTCATTTTCCCGAGTCCTGTCATATAGATTTGCTATCTCAAATAACCTATTTCAAAGCCATCTTGATGATGAGCAGTACTGGTATTCCCATATCCCTATAAATATTTAACATTAGAAAATTGTAACTTTTTGCTAAAGATAACTTTTGAGAGACACTGGCAATGTCTGGTTCTTTTCTATCTATTTTCAGGACAGTAGCATTTTTCCATTAATATATTTATATCATGAAATACCAAGAGTGGTTTCTGTGCTGTCCCCTACTTGGTATGACCTTCAGCAAGTACTTCAAAGCAATATATATATGTTACATGTGTGATGTGCTCATAATACAGTGGTCTGAACCTTTCAGGCAGAACTTTTCCTTAACATAATAGTAACATAGATATCAAAAGGTACATATTTCCAGAAGACAAATGCTGATTTTGGTGATACTAAGTCATCCAGAATCACAGTCTGGCTGAAATTGGAAGGGACCTCTGGAGAGCATCTGGTCCAACACCACTACTGTAGCATGACTATCAAGAGCCACTTGCCCAGGACATTGTCTAGACAGCTTTTGAATACCTGCAAAGAAGAAAATTCCACTGTTATAGGTAAAAATAGAAATAGACGCAATCGTAATAGAAATAAAAAAATAAAAATTTATTCGCGACCATATTACAGTCCCAACAGCCACCAACCAAAAATGACAGTGCAGACCCTGGGTTACAGGCTGGGTGAACAGATCCGGCCTCTATCGCACCGAACCCCCTTTCATCCACACTTGCTGCTCCACAGGGACAGTTCTTATGCTCTTTTTCTTGCCTGCGGCAGAGTCCCTTTGTCTCCTTTCAAAGTTCATCATATCCATGTTGGTTTCTTTCTTCACTCAAAGCTGCACAAAACCTCGTTCGGGAAGAGATCGATGTTCCTCCTCTGATTCCCGGAATCCTGTATTCAGGTGGAAGGTGTTGATGGCCCTGGTTATCTCAGATGTGTATCTTCATGGGCCATCATCACTGGGTGTCCTTGGGTACATGCCACATGAACGACCATCTCCTGTGCAGCTGAGTTTTCCTTCGTGTGTTAATGCTGAGTTCCACCCTTGTCAGCCAGCTGCGGTTTTGTCATCCTAGGATTAAACCTTGGTCTCCCCTTAATAACATGTTTAATACACAAATCTATATTTCATAGGCACGAATTTCTATCATATCCCTAACAATTCCCTCCCCTTCTTTATAAACACATTAATTCATGCAGTTTTCTAAAAATATTTCTATGTATTTTATTTTTAGCCAACTTTTAATACCCGTTTCCCATAAATTTAAGCAATGCACCCTATATATTATATATAACACTTTTTGTATCTAGATAGTCTCATTTTCCCAATCTTCCTGAGGTGTCTCTCAATAGTTTTGATATTCTGATTCATTACCATTTAATTGTTTTTCAAATTTTGCTAAGGCAATTTGCAGCCCACTTGTTGGATCTTCCTCCTCTAATTTCATAATTTTTGAAACTGGATTTGTTTTTCCGGTCGCGCATTCTGGGTCAATAGGCATAGCTGCAATTTGCATACCTTGTACCACCGAATGTATTAGTCTAATAAAACAAGGAATCAGGCAGGGTAAGAAGATGATTCTGGCTATGGAACAGAATATAAAGAATATTAATTTCTTCTACCAATCACCATTAAATAAGTTGTCCCACCAGGAAGCATTCAAAATTGAATTCCATTTCTGGATGGGTACATGAGCCACTCTTTTGATTTCAGCGGCCAGACCTCGGATGGTCTCCCCGTAATCATCAATCTCAATGCAACATTCTGATTCGTTGCATTTCCCGCAGACTCCCCCTTCTTCAGCCAGTGGGCAGTCCAGGGCTATCCTATTTTGGTAAACAAAAGCCCTCATTTGGGAGTGCAGTTTTGACAGCAACTCGAGAGCATCTGCAGTGTGGTTTGAGACAATTTCCACCACTGCCTGGAGACTAATCAGCCAGTTCAGGAGATATATTGGGGTATGATAACCCCAGCTACTGTCCTGAGCCCAAGTGGCTGGCCCATAATATTCAATAATGCGTTCTGCCAGCCACTCCTCTTCCCCCCATTTTTGGTTACCCCCAAATATAGGAAATTTCTTTCTTACCTCCCTCTTTTGGTGGTCCAGGGTCTCATATAACGGAACCCCCAAGGATCTGCTTTCTCATCGAGGTAAGGTGAAGAAAACTGGTCTAATCAGTCCCAGAGTGCATGACCCCTTCCATTTCCGAGGCAATTCGCTATAGGCTTTCTTTTCACAAATCCAATAAATACCATTAGGTGCTTTCCAATTACTATTCACATTTCCTGGCCCATTCCGGTAATCTCTTAGTTCCTTCAAAGATTGGTAAGGGTTAGCCCCAGCCATTTTATTCCAACAGAGCCCAATTTTATCACTCCACTCACCTTTGTTATCTTTCTCTTGACTCCAATACCCTGAAGGGGGCTCTGGCTGCCAGTTTATACTTTTTGTGTCCGAATTTACAGCTAGAGTGGAGATGCAAAGGATATACCCTACCACTTCAGTGTATTCCTTCCCCTCTCGACTTATGCAAATCATCCCAATTACTTGTTTGTCCAAGACCCATCCCTCAGGTCATTGTATTAATTTTGAGATTTTTGTGTTATCCCCTTTTAGTAATTGCTCTGGGGTTAACCCTTCACCTTTCCTAGGCCATTTTTCTGTTGATTTCAGCCCCCCACAAATCTAACAATTAGACAAACTTAACTCTGTGGCAATTTCTTGCATTAGGTCCATGAACAGATTTTTGTCAGATGTGGGTAAACAAAAATCATTATATTGATTCCCCAATTGATCATACTGTTCGCTTAAAGTTTTTAACCTTTCTTGCTCTACCCTTCATTTTCTCATTTCTGATTCTTGTTTCTTCAATTCTTGTGCAACCTGCTGTATTTTGCTTTCCGGATCCACCCCTTCCCTGTTTTTAGAGAAACAAAATGTTTTATCATATTGTAGACAAGCTTGGTCATCATGATCCTCGAGCAGATCGATGATAACCGGTTCCTTTTTAAGAGGAAGCTTATTTTCATATTTTAAATTTTTCCCCACCCAATAAGTCTTACCCCCTATTGCACATATTTCTAATTGGTCATTATTACAGCACAGCTTATTTACCTGATAGTATCCAACAAAAACTGACTCCATCTTTCCCGCAGTCCAAACAGTACAATTACATTTATCACAGATGGGTATCTTTATAGACTCGATACACCGTTTTTGCCTTGTGTGTTCTGACTTACCCTTAGAAGCGGTCCTCTGTGGTATGAAGACTTATTTTCCCTCTATAATACAGACCCCGTACCGAGTGCCATTAATAAAACAATACCTGCTTTCAGTGCCTTGTTCACATCCCCCCGAGGTTAGGTAGGCTGAAACTTCTGCTTCACCCTGTCCTTCCTGGAGGATCTGTGTGCAAACTCCACATTCGTGGTTGGGATCCCGCTGTTCCAGGCTAGCCTGGTTCTCGACATGAGTGCTAGTCCTGAGGCACGTGACTAGACTCAGGCTCATCAGCACCACTCCCACTATCATTCCTCTGCCTCCACCTACGCTCACTGGGGTGCCACCAGCGGCGGGGAAGACCATCTTCTTGGCAGCTGGAATGAATATTCCGGAGGTCATATTCTGATCGAGCCATGTATCTCCATTTAAACACACCCCACCGTGTGAGTTTTACCAGGAAGGCACTGCAAGGTGCTTTGCTTAATCTCCGGCACTCAACTGCTAAGACGTGGCCTCAAGATTGCAATTTTCCCCTTACCCCATTTTGGAAAAGCTGAAACCACACTAGTGAGTCTCTTTCAATCACCCGTGATTCTGTGAGGAATGTCAAGATCAGGTTAGTTAGACACACTTCGTTATCAAAACACTTATAACACAAACCCCTTGGTCGGATCCCCCTTTTGCAAGGCACCATCCACAATTTGTTACAATACAGACACTTGAACTGAGCAAAGGATAATACTGGACAGTCAGACTCTTGAAATTTTATCAGGTTGTTCTCAGTCATTAGCTTGGTTGACGCAGTGTGAGCTTCAAGTCTCCGGGAGGTGAAACAACCTCCCTCTCTGGCGTCTCTGCTTGGGGTTCCACTCACTTTACCCTTGACACATGAGTCCAGCCTTTTTCTGCCATTTGCACTGCTGTATCTGTAGTTAAAAGAACAAGCAATGGTGTGGGGGTACATCTTTCCAAGTTTTTATAAGGACGTAATCTCCGGGCTGGATGGGGTGTATAGCAAAGCCTGGTGGAGTACCTTGCATTATGATACCTTGTTTCCACAGCTCCTGCAGATTTTTGTTTATTGCTATGAGATATGGTCTTATTTGCCCATCCTCAATTTTAGGATGCCCTACAGGCATCCCATGTTTGTAGGGCATCCCATACAGCATTTCAAAGGGTGATATTCTGGTCTCCGAGTGGGGCAGTGTTCTAATATTTAGCAGGGTTAGAGGGAGGTGTTTTACCCAACACATTTTTGTTTCTAATATCAGTTTGGATAATTGTTTAGGGTTTGATTCATTTGTTCAACCTGTCCAGAACTCTGAGGATGCTATGGGGTATGGTACTCCCATCGGATCCCTAAAGCTTCAGTCATTTGTTTTATTACCCTAGAAGTGAAGTGTGTGACTTGATCCGAATCTAAGTATTTTACCAGTCCATACAGGGGCACAATTTCTTCTAGCAGCAATTCAGACACTAGTTGTGCAGTAGCCCTGGAACTTATAAATGCTTCCACCCAGTGAGTCAGTTTGTCTACTGTTACTAGCAGACACCTGTACCTACCTACCTTTGGTAGATCGGTAAAATCCACCTGGACCCTCTCAAAAGAGTCTGTACGCTACTGGTCGGCTCACCAGTGCTACTTGCCTGGCTTGGCTCCAATTCACATTTTGGCATATGATGCACCCTTGTACTTCCTGTTTTGGTAATTCATGTATCACTTTACACCCGAAAAATTTTAAAAATTGTTCTGCTAAAGCCTGAGCTCCCCAGTGAGTTTGTGAATGTAACCTTCTCAAAATTTTCTGAGTATATTCCTTTGACAGTAATTCCCTTCCATCTGGTAATTTCCACTTACCTCCATCTAATTTTCCTCTGATATTTTCATACCCCTCAATCTCCTTTTGAGAGAGTTGTGGAGGATACTTCCGAATCTCCCCCTCACAAATCTCTGGAGTGCTGACCTGCAGGAGTGCTGTGTTTTTAGCCTCCTGATCTGCCAAACTGTTTCCCCTGGTTTGGAATTGTGCTCCTGTTTGGTGTCCTTTTACATGGACTACAGCAATTGCCTCTGGCTCTCAGAGAGCCTCTAGAATTTGTTTTATTAATCCCCCATGCATCAGCCCCCTCCCTTTTGTATTAATTAGACCTCTTTCTTCCTAAATCTGGAGCAACTATAAGGGCCTTCTTTAATTCTCTAATTTTTTTTTTGTCCGGTTCAGTCCATTTACGTTTGTCCATGGTTAGTTTTTCATATAAAAATTTTACTTTCTCACTGTACCCCTCGATCCATTGTCTACAGAACCCCAGAAGCCAAGTACTTGTTTTACTTCCCTTTTTGACTGAGGGGAGGGTAATGCAATAATCCCCGCCACCCTGTCAGGGTCTAGCTTTTTCTTACCTTTCACCAACCAGTGTCCTAAATATTTCATGGGCTCTGTGAATTGCAGCTTAGATTTTGAAACCTTTAAACCTTTATCCCCTAAAACGTTTAGGAGAGCTGTCGTGTTTGCTCTTACCCCATCTTCATCAGGACTCACTATTAACAAGTCATCTACATAATGTAATAGTTTTGTTCCCTCCATTGGGACAAACTCACTCAATAATTGCTCGAGAGCCTGACCGAACAGGTTCGGTGAATCCACAAACCCTTTAGGGAGGGAGGTCCACCTAAGTTGTTGTTTACGGTTTGTCTCTGGGTCCTCCCATTGAAATGCAAAACAGTCCCAACCCTCCTTTGCTAGAGGCCAAGTCCAAAAGGCATCTTTCTGGTGTATTACACTATACCAGATATCATTCGGTGACACATTATTGAGGAGTGTATAGGGATTTGAGATGTGAGAAATAAGGTTTTTGTTCACTGGTTAACAGCTCTTAGATCCTGCACCAAGTGATAACTCCCGTCCGGTTTACAGACCGCAAGAATGGGAGTATTATGTCTAGACATACACGGCTCTAAGGTGCCCTTTTTTGTTAGATCCTCAATTATTGGTTTTAACCCCCACCTTCCCTCCATGGGTATTGGATATTGTTTGACCCTAATAGGGTCTTCTGGTTTCTCAATTTCTATGTGTATAGGTTCCATTTCCAACTTCCCCACCTCCCCCTTTTTGTGCCACACTTTAGGGTTTATTTTTCCCTCATCCTCAGCAGTGAGTTTATAAAAGCTTACCATAAGTTGAGAGTCTTGTGCAGTTAGACTAATACGCAAATTCATCATTAAATCCCTCCCCAGCAAATTATAATCTGCTTCTTCCACCAACAGTATATTCCCCAAACACAATTTATTTTCGGATTCAATTTCCACATCTTTAATTACCAGTACCTTGAAATGTTCCCCCTTCACCCCGATTACCATAATGGAATCCTTGTTCTTTGAGCACCCCCATGGTAGGTGTTGGACAATACTCCTTTTGGCCCCTAAATCCACCAAAAACACCAGTTCCTTCTTTTGGGGTCCTATTTTTAGTTTTATCAAGGGCTCCTTTGGTGTTACAGACCCCATGTTAAAAAGCCCCTGGCACCTCTAGTCCTCTTGAAAAATTTTCTCGTCCTTCATTCTCTTTTTACATTCCCTTTTAAAGTGACCTCTTTGCTTGCAGTAATAGCACTCTGGCGCCTCCCTCTGTCAGGGCACAGGCCTCCTTGTTGGATATGTGGGTTTCCCCGAGGCTTTTTGTGCCTGACCGGCTTTCCCAGTGTTTGTGTCTCGTTCCTGTTTTTGTGCTTCCCTTACCGCCACCACTAGGACCTTTGCCTGTGCCTTCTGCTTTTCATCCTCCCTCCTCATATAGACTTTTTGAACCTCCCGCAACAATTCCTGTAACATTCTTTCCTGCCAATTTTCCAGCTTCTCCATTTTTCTCCTTATGGCCTCCCAGGATTTAGCCACAAATTGTGTTTTTAACAAAATGGCTCCCACTAGGGAATCCAGGTCCGTTCCCGAGTACATCTGGAGAATCTTTCTTAACCTCTCCAGCCACTCAGTAGGAGTTTCATCCCTTCCTTGGCATTCCCCCAATTCTTTACTCAGATTCTGCCCCTTTGGTACCGCCCCCCGAATACTCTGAATCACCATATTTCTAAGATCTACAATATTTTGCCAGTCCTCTTCTGCTTGTGCATTCCACAATGGCCTTTGCCTGGGCCATTTGACACCTCCCCACTCCCCACTTGTGGGTTCCGATGTTCCCAATCCTTTATTGCTGCCACCCTTATAATATCTCATTCTTCTGCATTAAACAAAGACCTCATTATGGCACTAATATCATCATATGAATAAATACTGTTCCCCAAAAACTCATCCAACCTCTCCGCCACCCCCAATGGATCATCCATTATTTTCCCCATTTCCTTTTTGAACGCATGCACATCCCCCGAGTTTATTGGCACATTCACATATCCAAGGACTCCTGGAGCCATTGGGCTTCCCTGAGCGGAAAGAGACTCTGCTGCCATTCCTTGTCCTCACTATCATCCGCATTAGCCTTCCAAGTCTTGCGTCTCGTTCAGCTGGAGGGCAGGGACTTGTTCCCTGCAGACGTGTGTGTGTGCTGTGTTCCCCTCCGGTTGTGTAGGAGTGGGAAGGGGAAGGGTTTGTTTGTGTGTGAGCGGCATTGCCGAAGCTTGCCCTTGTAGAGGCATTGCTTCAGATGGCGGCGCCTGCACCGCTGCCTGTTGATGCGCCGGATTCGCGGAGGGCACCCTGTACCTGGGGATTCGGGTATGGGGGAGGGAGGTTTCCCAGGGGTTCCCAGGTTTTTTTGAGGTTCTTAGGTTGTTTATAGGTTTTTACAGGAACTAACCCTGGTACTGGCATGTTCCCACAGCCATGCATACACCCTTTCCCCATTTGTTGACCCCTCTTCCTCCAATATAAATTCCTCCAATGCCTGACACATGTTTCCTTCTCAAAAGTCCCAAACATAGGCCAAAATAAGTATTTCTTGACCTCCACATGAGCCCATTTCTCCACACCATAATATATCTTTGTCTCCTTAGACCTCCCCCTCCTCGTGGAGCAATCCTCCCAATGTTCCAACATCCACCCCAGAGGACTATTTCTTGGTATATTGGGAGTACAATATTTTTCCACCTTTTCTGGTTTCCCCTGGATTTTCCCTTGTAGTTTACTCTTTTTCAGTCCCATGTTTCTTAATCTTGCTTACCTTTTTCCTTTTTGGGTAGATAGGCTCCCAAACTGACCTGCTTTCCTTTTACGGGTACAATCCTTGATTCTTAGTTACAAAAAAACTTTTGCCAACCTACTAGTTGTACAGTGAACCGATCTGTAGATTTTCGATCGACAAAAAAAAAGAGCTCTCTTACCTTTCTCCTGGATCCAGTGAGGTTCTGTTTTTCCTGGTCATCAATGGACCTTTGTCCTCTCCAGCCCGTGATCAAAAAACACCCCCCCTTTCCTCCCGCAATTCCCAGGATTTTGGGTTGGTGTGTGTGTGAGCTTTTAATGAGTTTTTCCCCCGCTTCCCCCGCGAACAACCACTTTCCTCGCTGAAGAGTGGAACTGCGATCTTGGGGTCCACGCTCGCTTCGTGATAATATCACATCTCACACACACACTCAATCACATCCCACTCAACCACATGATACTTACGGTCCTTTTCCCGTGTGGAATCTTTGTGCACGTAGTTTTATGAGGGAAAAAATTTGCCAGCTTTGGAGAATTTACTCCATTTCCCTGAGAGCTCGGGGCCCGTTTTTAACCTTTTGATTGTGGCTTTTGGCTAATAGTTTGTGTTATCTGATTGGTTCCATTGGGCTTTTGCCAATCCTGTCTGGCCGCTGAACTCAGGAGGGCACCGCCCGGACCTGGAGAGGGGACCCTGGAATCCGATATCAGATCATGTCAGGCTAGGTCACCAAGATTGTTATAGGTAAGAATATAAATAGACCCAATTGCAATAAAAATAAAAAAAAAAAAATTATTCGCGACCGTATTACAGTCCCAACAGCCACCAATCAAAAATGACAGCACAGACCCCGGGATACAGGCTGGGTGAACAGATTCGGCCTCTATCGCACCGAATCCCCCTTTCATCCTGACTTGCTGCTCCACAGAGACAGTTCTTATGCTCTTTTTCTTGCCTGCAGCAGAGTCCCTTTGTCTCCTTTCAAAGTTCATCATATTCATGTTGGTTTCTTTCTTCACTCAAAGCTGCACAAAACCTCGTTCGGGAAGAGATCAATGTTCCTCCTCTGATTCCCGGAATCCTGTATTCAGGTGGAAGGTGTTGATGGCCCTGGTTATCTCAGATGTGTATCTTCATGGACCATCATCACTGGGTGTCCTTGGGTACATGCCACCGTGAATGACCATGTTCTGTGCAGCCGAGCTTTCCTTGGTGTGTTATTGCCGAGTTCCACCCTTGTCAGCCAGCCGCGGTTTTGTTATCCTAGGATTAAATCTTGGTCCCCCCCCTTAATAACATGTTTAATACACAAATCTATATTTCATAGGCACGAATTTCTATCATATTCCTAACATCTACCATCTATCTGAGTAACCTGTGCAGTGCTTGGCCATGCTCACAGTGGAAAAGGGTTTCCAGATGTTCAGAAGGAACCTCCCACTTTTCAGTGCTGTCTCGTGCTGTCACTGGCCACCACAGCAAAGTGGCTGAACACAACAGCTGTGTGTATGTTTCTGTTGGTGCCAGCAATGCAGTGAGTGGGCCTGACTAGAAGAGAAAAAGTACAAGATATGCAAGGACTCTGAAATTGCAAAACAACCATTCTGCGCATTAAACTAGTGATAGCAAAAAGGTTTATCTGTGAAGGCAGTTTGTCACAAGAGCCAGGTATCAGAAGCATGGCCTTGAGGCAGGAAAGAATAGTGCTCCAAATAACTGGAACAACTCCCCACCTTTGTGCAGAGAGTGAATTTTCATAGAATCATAGAATGGCTTGGCTTGGTGGGGACCTTAAAGATCATCTTATTTCAACCACCCCCACCATGAACAGGGACACTTTCCACTAGACCAGGTTGCTCAAAGTCCCATCCAGTCTGGCCTCTGACAGGGAATTCTGATAGGTATGGGTCATCCGCAACTTTTCTGTGATTCTATATCACTCACGTCAACAAAACTGAAAGTTCATGGATGCTCTAGAAAAGTTACCTGCTGCTTGGAAAAGACTGGCACGAGAAAACCATATTACCCTCAAAGCTGAGTACTGTGCTTACAAGTTTGAGGCACGTAGACTCAACCAATGTTATTCCACAAGAAGGAGTTGTGGACTTTTGGAATTTATTCCAACTTCTGTCCCAAGAGAAAGCACTGCCTTTGAAGTTAGAGCTACAGGCATGATTTTTCCTCAGGAGACAAGTCAGATATTTTCAACCATCCTCAAAGACTGATGCATTGTATTGAAGTTGCAGCATAGGGAATATTACTTTTTCTGCATTTGTAGGGGTGATTAAGTGCAAAAGAAATACTTGTATAAGGAGCATAATCTCTACTGTGAGAGGAAGATTATTTCCTGTCTGGCAAATGAAAAGATAAAATAAGACTTGCCAAAGGTGTCCCTTCCCACACTCCCACCATCCCCCACCAAAAAAAAATATTAACAATACAGAGAGAAAAAAAAAAAAAAAAAAAAAAAAAAAAAAAAAAAAAAAAAAACCCCAAAAAAACCCAAAAAAAACAAAAAAAAAACAACCTTGATTTCAAGAGGCTGTTTTCCCCGAGGAAACAATTACAATATTCATGCTGCTTTTCCAGCCTTGTGCAAAAAGAACCTGTAGTCTTTCTTAAGAAGTGCAAAAGGGTACAAGTGAAAAGAGTATGGGAACAAATTCAGGAAGCACTGTTTCCAGAAGAACAGAATTTAGCTGCAGAGACTTCTAGCAAGAAATCTCAGAACAATTAGAATTTAGAAGCATTAACATAAGAGACTCCTGGGGCATAAAGGGAGGGAGGGATTGATCTACACACTCAAAATGCATCCATGGGAAATTTGATCATAACAGGGTCTCTGAGCTGGCAGCAGCATAGGCATAGAGGTCCCTTGGGCAGTGCAAGCTGAATTGAGATAAATTTGAACCAGAAATGTGGTGCAGTTTCAATAGAGAACAGATATCTGAGTCATTAGGAAGGCCCAGAAAAGCATGTGCTATTGTTTAAGCAAAGGTACTGAAGGCAGGAATGAAATCAGGTAAACACTAAGGCCTGGTATGACAAACAAAATAAAGTGACCTTTTTTCATTGCTCAATACAGACAAAATATATTTGCAGCTCTTTTTCTTCCATAAGACTAGAGATGTAAAGCTGTTATTCTGACCATTGTTTTTCAGTTCAAGTGTTCCCTGATAACACTGGAGTTCCTACTTACACTAACTTTTCCCTGTGTTAGGGTTTAAACTGCTTATTTACTTGCAGGTGAAAGTAACAGTGCAACAGTGGTTATGTTTTTCAGTTAAACTCTGGGAAATTAGTTTCTTTAATGCCACTTTCTGGAAGAGCCAATACTGACATACCTAATGAACCCTGATGCATGAAAAGTCATTTTAGAGGATATGTTTTTTCCATTGAAACATTTCCCTAGGTCACATTTTCAACACTTTAAAAAAAAATTGTTTATATCTTTTGCCTTCTCTTTCTCCCTAATGAACTTCATTAGAATTGCTTAGTTCTGATGAAGTGGAATTTTCAGCTAGAGCAGGCAGGTCTGCTGAAGACCATTCATATGTAATGTAAGATAAAATCTAAGATGAAAGGGCAAGCAGTTATCCCCAGTCAGTGTTACAAGCAGGAATTCAGAATGTGTGAAAGCAGATGTCCAAGGAGATCTTCAGAAGTTCAAGGACTCTCTGCAGTTTTATGAACTTGCACGCCAGCCCTGTTCAACTTGGGACAAATTGCCTAGAATAGATGGATACTCAGAAAAAGACTTTATTAACTGATTGCAACAGTGCTGTGGTGACCTACCAAAAGATCTTATCCTGTGGTGTATTAGAGATGGTTTTCTAATGCACCTGCTACCAAGACCAGGGAAAAAGAAAAAAGTCAGGTGGCTCTGGGCTTCTTGGGTGCCTTTCTCCTTTCCAGAGCATTGTCACCA